TTTAGCGGTTAAAAACTAACTATTTATATTTATAATTACACCTCTAATGGTAAAGTCACGATGTAAAAAAAAAACCTGAAAATCCTTGAAGAGTGATAAAAAATATAGAATCACAGTCTTGGATGAGCACTCATTCAGACATTTCATTCTGTAAAACTAACTCAGATCAAAAACATGATACAATAATAAGGTTATTCCAAAGTGCAACTTGTTGGCTTTCAAAAACACTCAAAGAAATGAAGAGAAAGCTGTGGAAGTCAGTGAATGTTACTTTTATTGACCAAGCACAGGGAAAAATATAGAATCACTCAATTCTGAGGAAAAAYGTYTGGAATCATGAAAAACAGAAAAACAAAAGACCATTGAAAATACATCACTAGTATTTAGTTGCACCACCTTTGGCTTTTATAACGGCTGCAGTCTCTGAGGCATGGACTTGATGAGTGACAAACAGTATTCTTCATCAATCTGGTGCCAACTCTGTTTGATAGCAGTTGTTAGATCAGGTTTGCAGGTCGGATCCTTCTTGTGGACCTTTTTTTTTTTTCAATTTCCACCACAGGTTTTCAATTGGGTTGAAATCTAGGTTATTTGCAGGTCATGATATCAAAAGTAACATTCACTGACTTCCACAATGTTTTCTCTTCATTTCTTTGAGTGTTCCTGAAAGCCAACAAGTTGTACTTTGGAATGACCTTATTATTGTATCGTGTTTTTGATCTGAGTTTGTTTTACAGAATGAAATGTCTGAATGAGTGCTCATCCAAGACTGCTGATTCCATACTTTTTGCCAAGGGTTGTAGATTCAATGACTGTATAAACTGTTTTAGCAAACCTAGATGTCTCAAATGACAAAATTACCCCCCACCAAATTATGTATTCATCATATCTAAAACGAACGTTGTGGAGTTATAGTGATATATCTGAAACAAAATCATTGTATGGACAATCACTTTTCAAATAGCCACACATTTGTTATTACAAGCCCCGACAGAAATATTCCTTTTGAATGGTGTACCATAACATTTGTAGATGGTTGTAATCCCATTACTGTATAATGTGTCATTAATTAAACTTCTTTTGTTGTTGCTTTTACTTTTGTTTGCTTCATTCTGCACGGGTCGCTGCAGCAAGCAAACGTATATGAGAACTAAAGATGCCCGATACCTGATGCCCATCTGGGCTCAAACCTGCAGCCTCAGGATTACAAGACAGCACCACTGACCACTGAGCTACAGCAACTGCATTGTCATCATTTACATTTCTGATGCTTGACACTGCTATTGTCATGTCCTGATGTCATTACTGGATGCACCATTTTGAAAATCAAAATACGTACATTTTTATATGATAAATCGTCTTGCCATACTTTTCGTCACTTCCCTCTGGGCCCAGCCTGAACTTGCAGCCATAGCAACGGTCCAACTTGTGAAGTGGGACCAAAACTTTTCAGGAAAGCTCGCCGTGTTTAAAAACAACAGATTAAAAAAAAAAAAAAACAGAATGTTTTTAAAATATATGTGAGAAATACAGACATTGTTCAAATGAGATTATTAGTTGTGTTACTGTTTTTGTGTATTTGACTGTACAACGACACCCCACACTTTATTTTGGGTGTATGTTTTAGTTAGATTGTTCATTTCTGAGAGTACTGGTATTTACTG